AGGATCACCTCAGGTCAAGAGTTCGAGACCAGCCTGACCAATGTGGAGAAACCCCATCTCTACTAAATATACAAAATTAGCCGGGCATGGTGGCACATGCCTGTAATCCAGCTACTTGGGAGGCTGAGGCAGGAGAATTGCTTGAACCCGGGATGTGGAGATTGCAGTGGGCCGAGATCATGCCACTGCACTCCAGCCTGGGCAACAAGAGCAAAACTCTGTCCCACCAAAAATAAAAATAATAATAATAAATAAATAAATAATAAATAATAAAAATAAAAATAGAGGCTCTGAGTCATAACTCTCCCGGGCTCCTGACTGACCCAGGAGCTCCCCTTGTGGCCCTGCGTGGTATGTCATGCCTCCTGTTTTAGGATCTGTGAGTATAAACTTCTTTCTTCAGAGAAATAAATTTCCATGTCTGTATGTCTGCACGTGCATACTTAATTAAAACAAATCTGAAGTATACTTTAATACAAAGTGAAATTCAAAATTAAAATCAATACCTTTTACAATAGTACCAAAAAATGTAACTCTTAGAATCTATGTGGAAACTCTTAGAATGTGTGTAGAATTTACATGCTAAAAACTTGAACTACTGATGAAATAAATCAAAGGAAACCTAAATAAATGCAGAGGAATGCTAAGTTTGTGGGTTGAAAGGTATTCAGAAATTGGAAGATTGTTAAAATTTCAATTCTTCTGAAATTGATCTATAAATTTAACACAGTTGCAGTCAAAATCCTAGTAGGATTTTTTTGTAGATATTGATAAACATTCCTAAATTGATATAAAAAGGAAAAGAAATGAAAATAGACAAAATAATGTTTAAAAAGGACAGAATTGGAGGGTTCACACTAGCTGATTTTAAGGCAGTGTATGTCTACAAAATAGCATATTTGTAAAATGATAGAAAGATCAGAGGCACAAAATAGAGAATCTAGAAAGAGACTCCCACAAATATAGCCAAGTGATTATCGAAAAGTTGCAAAAGCGGTTCAATCAAGAAAGGATCATCTTTTCAATAAATGGTGTTAGAAAAATTGGACATCCCATGTGCAAAAACAAGCCAGCAAATAAAAAAGTCACCATCCATACCCCACACCTAAAAAATAGCAAGAATTCAAAATGAACCAAATACTTAAGTGTAAAACGTTAAAACTTATAAAGCAAAACACAACTCTAGATAGATTGAACTCTATCAACTTTAAAGATGTTTACCCTGTGACAGAAACTATAAGAGAATGAAAGACAAACCACAGATGGGGAGGAAATATTCAGAAATCTTATCTGACAAAGACGTTGTATCTAGAACATATAAAGAACTCTCAAAAATGAACAATATAAAAGCGAACAACCCATTTAAAAATGAGCAAAAATTTTGAGCAGACGCTTTACTACAAATGATAGATGGATGGAAGATAAGCGCAAAAGTAGATGCTCACCATCATTAGTCATTAGGAAAGTCCAAATGACAGTCTTGCATGATTGGCTACAATTTGATCCTGTACAGAGACTGTGCGAGATATTGCACACCTTCAACAGCTCGGTCCTTTTCCTCCACGAGCTATAGTGCACTCCTTTCTGCCATTATGGTGAAGGCCTGTCCTCAAAGATCAAGCCCCTGATCGGTTCAAGTCATCATTTTCTCGGTATTATAGGGACCATTTGTGAATGGCGTTCTGTTTGCTGGTCTTTATGGGCACCTGGTCTGAGATGAGCAGGTGAGTAGTCATGTCAGCCCCTCCCTGAGTCCTCCTGACAGAAGGGGGAAGACATGGTTGCATGGGCATTATAACACAGGTGTTTGTATATGCTTCTCAAAATGCCTTCATCACCTTACGTCATTATGTAAGGTTAATGTTAGGAGGGGCGTATCAGGACTGTGACTTATTATTATTCTATTTACAAGAGTATTTTGAGTACCTTAGAAACAATAAGTATGACTACTAAGTTGGCTTTGAAATTCAGGCATATGTTTTCCTTTCTCCACCAAATACTCTTCTCTTTAAGGTAAGGGCAGCTGACATCTGCAAACTCTAGATTCCAGGTCTTCTGCTTGAAACAAAACCTTAAGGAAATTACAGAACTCAAATAACCATTTTTCTTTCTTCTGTAAAATAGGATCATGCCACCCAGACTACAGTCGGACTGTAAGGAATAAAAAACAGAACAGGCCAGGACCAGTATTTCATGCTCATCATCCCAGCACTTTGGGAGGCTGAGGCAGGAAAATCGCTTAAGCTTGGGAGTTCAAGACCAGTCTGGGCAACTTGGTGACACCCCATCTCTACCAAAAATACACACACCCCCAAAAAGTTAGCCTGGCATGGTGGCATACACCTCTACTCCCAGGTACTCAGGGAGGCTGAAGGAGGAGGGTTGCTTGAGCCTGGGAGGTGGAGGTTGCAGTGAATGGAGATTGCTCTGCTGTATTCCACCCTGGGCATTGGAGTGAGACCCTGTCACAAAAAAATAAAAATAAAAAAGGAAAATACACAGGAGTCTATATGTACTGCTATTGGACTTGGCCTGTAGAAGCTTCTTTACTCAGGATGTGAAGCTTTGTGTACTGCTATTTTAATATCTTTTGTCTTCAGTATATAAAAAGCAACTCCTCAGGGGAGAATAAAGCACACCCCAAGGACTGCTACATCAATAACTTCTATTGAGACATGTTGACTTGTCAAGTCATCTCCATGATGGATAGAACAGAGCGCAAACATCTTAGCCAAGTTGATGCTGATTCACTGAAAATAACGGGGTGAACACCCTGGAAATCAGTTGAGGTAAAAATAAATATATCCTTTATTGTGGTTCGGTGACATTGTGCTAATTTAGAAACCATGGTTTCTGGGAGAGTTTTTGTTTTCTCTCAAGTCTCTGGTTGGAAACATCACATGGTTGTGCTGTTGCTGTTTACTGCCACAGCCTGTCCAAGTCTATTCTCGGAGAGTTTTCTCCATATAGGAGTTGATACCAATCCAAGTGTAAAATCCGGAGAAATGTGTGCATAGCTTTCTGCGTGGATTGGTAGCTGAGGTTCGAAAAGTGGTCTGCTGTGAGCTCATCTGACCAGAAAATCTGACTGTTGTCAGGCAAAGAAAATGGTCTGTCAGGAAAGGACTGGGCACCCCAAGTGGAATAAGGAAAGAGAAGGGCTGTGCCTCCTTGCAGAAAGGGGCACAGCTGGTGAAGCTGCCTTCACATTGTCCGAAGTTCCCACTTCTGGAAAGTTCCAGTTGTAAGAGTGAAATCAACGCCAAGAGGCAGGTCAGTAGAATGAGAGCCGCTGAGAAACTAGCCACTGTGCAGTGTGGGTGGAAGCGGAAGGAGATTTGATTTTGGCAAGTCTGTACTCAGGTCTTCAGTAGGGAGTCCTGAAGTCAGGGTGAAGAAGCCTTTGTTTATTCTAGAGGAGGTGGGGTTCGGGGTATGGGAAAGAAAATAACTTCTCAGAAAGTGAAAAAAAAAAAAGCTCATGTAGAGGATGTGGGGCAAAATAATAGGAAGGAATAAATCAGCATTGTACAGAATGTGGCTGGTTCATAGAATTCCAGGTTCTAAAGATTATGTGCCCAAAGCCTCTGCATTTTATGTGAACATACACAAACCACATGTCGACCAAATGCACAAAAATGTGCATACATGGAGCAGTGAGCCACCAACAGTAACCAGCATTTCACTTCTCTGCATCTCAGTTGGCTGTCCCTAGTTCTGGCATTCTGGCACTGTGTGCAGTGTAACAGAAAACCCGGTTTGGAAGCTAGGCTTGCCCAACAATAGATATTCTGGGGTGATTTTCATCCCTTAGCTTTTGTCATTACGATATTTGCTTTGTGTGCCTGTTGTGCAAATATAGGACGGTTCCTGAAAGGTGCCTCTGAGCATTCTTGAGTGTAAGGTAAGAAAGGAAAGTGTGTAAGACAGAGGCCAAGAACACCTGTCACAGGGTACCCGCCTAGAGTGTCTGTACCGCATCCTTTCTGCTACACTGTTTGCACACACACAAAAGGGCCGAGGAGCCGGGGTTGGTGCTGGATCTGCCCAGTACGCGTGCCGGGTGTTGGAAGGATGGGGCCGGCGGTAACAAGAATCAATATATATTTACCGCTGGGGCGGGGGTGGGGGTGCGCGGAGGCTGCAGGGCGGGGCAGCGCTAATGAGAGCAAGCCCGGCTTGTGGTTGGTTCTGGAGTCTGGTACCCACAGAGGAGCAGGCAGGGAGGGAGGGGAAGCAAGCGGGAGGATAAAGCGATGAAGTGTGCTGCGTTACCGCGCATCAGGCGCTGTTGTTGAAGCCGGAACACCGTGCGTCTCTGACCTAACCGGCCCCCTCCTCGCGCATACACTCGTCGAGCGGCGCGCGCCCCTCCGCCGTGGCAGTAGCCGTGGCCGCCGCTCGCTCGGGGCACCCGGCAGCCAGAGCGCGGCGAGAGCCGGCGGTCGCCAGGGTCTCCTCCCCAGCAAGTCCCAGGCTCCCGGTGCACTATGTGGGGCACGTGCGCCCCCCAGCTCTAACCTGCACGCTGACAGGAGCATGATCTGTGCCCAGACCAGGGCTGCCAAGGTAAGCAGGCGTCGCGCGGGGACACTGCCTGCCGCCCCTTCCCCCCGCCCTTCTCTGGGCGGCTTCCCCGTCGCTCGCGAGGCCCCGGCAGCGCCCTCCCTTCCTGGGGCCGAGATCCACCCTCCTCCCCACCCTCTCGCTTCTCCCGCGAGGTTCAATTGTCAGCCTGGGACGCGCCGCAGCCCAGGCAGGACCGGCATCCCCGGGTGGCGACCCCGGCTTGGGTACGGCAGGCGCACCCGGCCCTCCTGTGGGGCAGTGAGAGAAACAAAGAAGCCCCCAAGCGGGTTCGCAGCGCCTCCCCCGCCCTTCAGCGCCCTCCCAGTGGCGAGGAGGTGTCAGGGGAGGGGGCGGAGAGACCTACGTAATCCCCCTTCCCAGCCCACACCCACCCCTTGTGAACCAAAGCTCTGGATTTGCGCTTCGCCTTGGGCTCGCTTTTGAGCAATTGTGTTGCATGCAATGCCGTGGTTAGCCCAGCGAGCGCCCGGAGCGTCCGCACGGGTTCGCCCGTGCTCGCTCGAGGGGCGCGTGGCCAGGTCCGGTCCTTGCTCCCGTGGATGGTGCAGGAGGGAAGGGGGCACGTTGTGGGTGCTCCCCCAGCGCCTCCAGGTTCCCGGCCCGCTGCGCCGCTCAGCCGGGCCTGCCACCTGAGTTTTAGCGGGAGCAGCCCGTCAGGTCGCCTACCGTATTGCGACTTGCAGACAGGCAGGGAGGGAGCCGCCGACAGAAAAAAAAAATGCGTCCGGTCCTTTTTTGGCTGGAGGTGCGCTTCCTGCTACCCCTACGTTCCCAGGCAGTGCCAATGCAGCAAAATCCGAGGGCTCAAACAATGTGGCCCCTCCATCCCCGGCTTCGGGGCATTCTGATTGCTCTGCTGCTTTGACGTCCCGGCCACTTGGCTGGTTTTCAGAGCCATGGATGCGCGGTGTCTCTGTCTTGCACACAGAGGCTGGGCACCATAACTTCTTCCCTGCCGAATTTCAGCGCGTGGGGGGAGCTGGCAGGGACACAGGCTGCAGAGATGCCCGGCTTCCTGTGGTTCCGGGCACCGCGCGCCTCAGTCTGCATTGGCTGACACCAGATAGCATGTGGGGATTTTCCTAGTTGCCGAAGAAGATATTGTTTGACGTTGCTGTAGTTTTGTGCTTACTTCTCTTGGGATCTGCAGTGGTGCGATTCTCCCCTTGTTTTTTCCCCCCTTTTCTTTGAAAAGATGTCAATGCTATGTTCGGCAGAAATGGATACAGCAAGAGCAGCATAGTTCAAAAATTGAGGGAGGCATCTACTCTCTTTTCCTGGGATTTAAACGCGATTTAGGAGGGCAGATGCCCTACCCGAAAAGGCCAACCTTTAAAGACCCCGGCAGTGTTGTGGTCCAAGCCGTCTCAAAGCAGGTGGCCAGATCTGCGTTTCTCATCAGCGGACTCGCTCCGGCTGTGGCTCTTACGGTAATTCATTCTAGATTGGGGATTCATTTTAAAATGTGTGTTTTCCACTAAGAAGGGATTAGAGCCCACATGCCCACCCTGGTATGAATGTGCGTGCCTGTTTGGTGGAGAGAGAGATTGTGGTAGAATTCCCTGTTGCCCGTTTCCTCCGCTTGCTGCCTCCTCCGGAATGTGGCATGGGAAAAGCAAAGCACTATTTTAATTCCTAGACCTTCAGGCAAATTGGCCGTTAGAGTGTTTTATTTAATAAACCACGTTCTGACTAATTCCACACTATAATCCCGGTCTAGTGCTGTTGGCTGCTTTGTGGAATGACAGTTCTCTTTTTTTGTCTGGGATAGTTTTTTTCATGAAGGCAAATTGCTGAAGTTTGTTTAGATTGTGGCATTATTGACTTGGTAGGGAGGCCACATCCTGAGCTGGAACAGCCCATCAATGCATCAATACAGAGGGACTGCAGCTGCTGCTATTTGTGTATCTAGCATCATTTGACTTGATCCCTTTCACACGTTGGCTTTCAAAGATGGATGTATTACAAGATCATTTTGAGCTTTACCTTCTGATAGGATTACCTTCTGATTATGCTTCCATCTGATATGATTGTTAACAAAAGAAATATTAAAAGGCCAGGTGTGATATGGAAAGACAAGCGTCAGTCTTATGCCTTATGGTAAAGAAAGTTGGACTGGCTGGTTTCTATCGTTCTTTCTGGTTCCAGCATTCTGTGGTAACTGACAGAGGAGTAAGAAAAGTTACTCAGTGCTGGAAAGGCAAATAATTACAACGTGAACCATGTAAGCAAACCAAGGATTGATTATGGAATCTGTGGCTTATTTTTATACCTTGCAGCTTTTAAAACTCAAGTGTCTGCATTTTCCCCATAATTGAAATTACTCCCCAACTCAAACAGGTCATCTTTTCTTTTTCCACTATAGTGAAACATTTGGTGGGGGTTTGGGGAAAAGAGAAGAAAATTGAATTAATTGGAAACAGGTTTTCTCCTTTTGTGGCGTTAGTCATTCCAGCTGTCTTGGATAGTTGAGAATTCACTTTTTCCAATAATTGGTTTTTGTCTGTTTCTAATGAGACACTCTAGATAGCTGTTTCATCCTATGCAGTAATTGACAATGGCATGAGACTTACTTTCTCTGATGTAATTTGGTGTTCCTCATAAAACTTGCTAGCACTGCTTCTTTTTATAAAAAATGGATGAAGCGATGATTGTTCTAAACAGGCAGGCAGGCAGCGTTTTCATGCTGTCGTGGTAGTTTTTATAATTTAAGTATAGTCAAGGTGTTTGGTTGTCGACTCATGCTTAGCGATACGATTTTCCATAGTTGTGCCCTCATTTGTTTTAAGTTATAATCAAAATAAATCCTGAAATTACATCCCCGAAAGGCATAATTAACTGCTTCTTCTCCTGTTTTCCCACAGCCTTTTTGTTCATAGACCTAAGGTAGCACTTATCATATTGCAGTTATCTGAGTTGTAAATGTGCCACAGTCTCCTTATCTTAAATATGGGATGGACTTCTTCAGAACAAGGACATGTTTATATTAATCTCTCCAGCACCTAGCAGTTTGCCTGGCACATCACGTGTTCTCAGAAATATTTATTGAGTGGATTTCAGGTCATAAAAATGCCCTTTAATTGTATAGGCAGGAGGTAGGTGGGAATCCTTCACTTTGTGAGTCAGCTGGGGGAATCAGAGAGGTTATGTAAGATTCTTAAGGGGAACGGAGAGCCAGGACTCAAATCCAGGCCTTGCACCATGCTGCCTCTGAGAGAGGCTCCACCCACCCTCAGTAAACAACAACAAAAAAACATGCAGAGAATGAGTTCAAATGCTGTAGGTTTGGGTTATTTACTTTTTTCCTCGAATGATCTGGATTATCCATTTTGACAAAATTTATCTGATAACTCTTCTGTTCTGTCTTGCTCTGGCCTTAGAAGGATACATGTTTGGCCCAAGCACTCTGTCCTCTAATCCACACTTAAGCAGAAGAGGTGAGCACCCTTCTGCCCACCTTTTCTCAAGGTCCTGATTCTATCAAGCAGAGTTTGCTAGGATGATGGACACGTCTAGGGAATGCCTACCCATTACTTGCTCAAACAACATTGAACGACTGTTAAGTGCTTCTGAAATGACCTGCAGTTAGACCAGAGACAACCGTCTTTCCTGGGCCAGCCAAACTTGACCAAGTCTCCCAACAGGCAGGATTCTAGACTAACAGGTGTGACTTACAGACACCTGCTTCTTTCCCATTTACCTGCTTCCTTTTCCATTCTAAAAAACAGGACAAGCTACATTAGGAAACCAGGAAGTTTCAATACCTGTATGTCCTCTCTGCAAAGCAGCCGTCGGCGCATTTGACGTTCATGGACTCTTAGAGAAAACAGTCTGAAATGTTCTGTGGGGTTTTCTTCAAGTCACTTTTCCTCTTTGAGGGTTAGTTTCTTCTTTAAAAGTAGAAAGTTGAACCAAATAATCCCAAAGGTCACTTCTAAATCATGATTCTGTGATATTTGTTGTTGGTTTATTCAGTTGAGCAAATTGAAGGGTGAAAAACATTAATAATAATTTAACCTGGCAAGATGTAGAGAAGAAATGATTAAGGCTAAGTGGGTCAGCCTGTGGGTTATCTAATAACTGCTTTGAGCCTTCTGTTAAAGCTGTTCTTTATACATTACTGTAGCAATCCTTTCTTATTTGTAAAACTAAATTCACTATATGAAAGGGCAAGATTGGTGGCATTTCTTGTTCTCAGTGAGGAATGCAGCGGTGGAAAAAGCATGCAGTCTTCAAAATGTACAAAATGTTTAGAATTTGGGGGTTTAATAGTCAAGGTTCCAAGCATTTTTATTCTCACCAATGAGTTCGTCTGACAGCTGGATAACTCTTACAGTCAAAGTATTCCCTGCAATTCATCCAACAAATTCCCCTTTCAGTTTCTCTCTGGTTCCTCACTCTGCTCCTTCTTTCCACTTCCTTAGCTCCAGCCAACTTCCTATAACATCCCCCATATACATAAACCATATGCCAGTAGTACACTGCCACCCCCATCTCCCCACCCCCACCCCACCAAAGGTAGGAGTCAGAGCTTCACAACCTCCGTTCTCAGCTCAAGCTTTTCTATTTTCTGAGGTTTATTTATTACCATTGCTTTTCCAGGTTAAGACACAATGAGGCGTAGAAAGAGATCAAGTCTTTTAACGATTTTGTTTGTCGCTTATGTCCTTTTCTCACAGGCGTTCTGACCACCATTTGGAAACTAAATGCATTTAGGTGTCTTAAAGCCTCTTTAAATATTTTAGGAAGCAAAGCAGCATAGTGGCGATTTTATGTATTCTGTCCCATAGTGTTTGGATGTGTGGGTATTGGTAAATGATTGTCCTGTTCTGTGACATGGGCACTGTAGGGAGAATGACAATAATGCCATTACTTACTGGCAACGTATGACAAAGATCACTAAGCTCCTAGGTCATCTGGATTCCCATAGCAACAAGTGGTGTGCACTGCTTGCATTATTCATTCAGAACCCATCCTTTTCCTGATGTATTGGCCTGAAGCTTGATGCATATGGAGGCCTGAGAAATAAGGATATGGCATACAGACAGGCTCTCCTGGTGTTATCAGGCATCTATGCATGTGATATGCAGGGAGAATTCAGTGGATGGAACTTAAGCCGGTATGAGGGGGGTGGGGGAGGAGCTGGGAAAGGACGCCATCTGTGCCCATGATGAAAAATGCCATCATGGAGACTTCATTCGGGGTCCCTTTTATATATTTAGTGAAGCAGATTTTCTGTTTCACACTTTCTAGATATATTTATATTGCACAGATGTCAGGGAAATATCATGTGTGTGAAAGAAAAAAAAAGATCAAAATTCACATCCATGGCCAGGGATTGTAATTCAATCATTTTGTCCTGAAATTGGCACTCATTTAACCTGCATGGATGTTCCCGCTTCTGCTTTGGGGATTCAAGTCAGAGCAGTTTGAGAAACAGAAATCTCAGCCCTACACATTGTTAAAATTCAGAGATCTAGGTTAAGTGGGGGAAAGATGGGAGAATTTCAAACATATAAGACCTTGCTTCAGTGCCATCAGTACCAGAGCTGATGAAATCAATCAGCAAGTGTTTCCTCATCCTCTTTCCTGTAACACACAGATGAGCTGAAGAAACCACAGGACGTAGTCAATAAGTTATTATCCTCAAAAGGATTTCATTTTTCTTTACCGTTATTCATAATTCCTTTTACCATCAAACCTTAGCACTACTTAATGACATTTTCCCTCTATTTGAACACAAGTTATTTTTGGAGAAATGAGCTTTTTGAAATTGAAAAAAAGAAATTGTTTTGAGGATTGTTGCCAGCTTTATTTCCCCCTGACTACCCCCGAGCATTGTACTCGGTCTCCCCTCTATATGACCAGGCATAGGACCTGCATGTAAATGGGATGATAAGGAAATAATCGGCATGCAAATGTACTGTGATATATGACATTTACAAAACCCCTCCCTGACTCCACATCCCCCATGATTGATTTTCTGTTCCCTTTTAAAGAATATTGTCCCACTGCCCTTTTTCACTCCCTCCATCTCAGCCTCTAAAGACACATTTTATTTCAACAAACAACACATTGAACATATATGAAATGTATGAAGCAAAATGCAACACACACCCACCTTGCAGCCGGCGACCAGAAGATCATCTTATTTGAAGCTGCTTTTGTGTTTCTGCCTCATCTCACCTTTTGCCTGTCCTGAGAGCACCTCGACCAGGTATCAGGCACTTGTCCCCGTCACTCCCCTTCCTGTTGTCATTAGGTTCAACCAACGATCTCTACCTTGTGAAGTACAAGGGCAAACAGTTTTGCTGATCTCAGCAGCATTTTCCATGGGCCTGTGGGGGACCACTCTCTCCTTCTTAAGCCCCTGGTTTCTTTCAGGACACCAGATTCTCCTGGTGTTCCTGCAGCCTCTCTGGCTCTTCTC